CTGAACAGCTGGATCAGCCCTCGGGCAGACATCATCACATCTGAGGACAAACACAGACAAAAACATGTTCTGTGAAGAAAACATATGTGCACACATATGCACATCTCCTTTAATTGGTACATTCAGAGCTGTGAATGTGCAGGCGCAAGAAAAAGCAGTCACTCACTCTTGTCTTTGTGGGTCTTGTACTGGGCCAGGTCCTGCAGCAAGTCTTCAGTGATAGCAAGTGGACAGCGGCCTGCCACTTCCTTAATGGCATTGATACTTGATCACAAAAGAGGGTGAAATTTATTAGAACAATGAAAAGTAATACTTGGTAACTACAAAATAACTGTTTGTATTTAAATCATTTTAACCAATACAAACTTTGAATAACTGAAACACAAAGTAGACGAGGCTGCTCCTCACCCCACAGTCATCACCTCCCCAGAGTTTCTGTCTGTCACAAAGTTGTTGGCAATGGTCATGATTACAGGTTCGATGATCTGTAAAGTGGGAGTGTGCAAGAAGTGTCAGTACTGGAGTCCATGTGTTAAATATGGATGTGCTAACTCACAGAATAAGTCTGTAGATGGTAACGTACCTCTGGTGGGACGAGTTGATGGGAGGCCTGGGCAGCACACAGGAGAATCTTTGTCACCTCTACAGAGACAGGTTTGTTTAAAGAATCTCATCAGAAGAGGTTCATTTAATTAAAGCCCCATCTAGCAGTGAGGTTACAGAAGTGAAACTTAAAAATCAAATAACATTTCTACCAACAGGTAGCCTTCAATCATACACACTGGACCTTTACTTGGGGGTTATTTTTTACCTCTTTGATGGGGCTGTAGAAACCTCTGGACGAAGGGATAGAAATTGAAGAGGAAAAGCTGGAAAAGAACAGAGTATTCAGCATAAAATGTTTTATTCAAATACATGCGGAGTGCAAGGCATGAGCCCCATAACCCAGGAGCAGGCAGTACTGTTGCTACTGTCAAGTGTTACCCTTGAAAAATGCTGGCAAAGTTTATTCCTTCACATTATTTATGTGCATTCTGCAAATATTCATGAGGGCCACTTCTAAGTCATCTACCACTGATCTACAGCTGATGAGAGGCACATCATTTACCTCGTGGATTCCAACCAGTCTGGATATGAGATCCATCATCATGATCTTGACCTCGAAGCGCTCTTTAGAGTTTTCCAACTGCTTCAAGAGTTTCTCTGAGAAATCTTAATAAAAAGACATATTTCAAATTAAAGTTTAGTAAACTGTAGTAGTAACAACACTAAAGAAATGTTTGTGCTGCAGTTATTATGAAGAAAGCAGGTGAGCCTACCTTGAGGATCATGAATCAGGTGAATGGCAGAGAAATTAAACACTTCAGCTTTCCTCTTTTTCTTGTGTTTCTGCCCAAAGAGTTAAAAACAATTAACTAAGTGCATTTGAACACAAATGTAACAATATGAGCTATGACCCTGAGTGGATATGGCAGTGTTACCTTGAGGACTTTCATCGCCTTTTCCAGCTTCTTCTTGTTTTTGGATGTTTTCTTGCCAGTAGAGTATCTCACCTTCAGGTCTCGCACTGATGGTCCCTCCTCCTAAAAGAAGACTGATTCTTAACAAACACATTTGTACATCATATCGTGTGCACTGAACAAAAAAACAATCCCTTCCAGACTGAGAGAAGCATGCTTTCTCTAACTACTTTATATATTTTTGGTACTTGCCTCTGAGTCTGAATCACTGTCATTTTTCTCATCCTCATCTTTGCCCAGAAAGAATTTAAGACCGGCAACAAGGATCTAAACAGGAAGAGAGCCAGGTGAGGATGTGCAGAGTCACCACAGTTACAATATGATAAGTAAAGTGTTGCGTTCAACATACCTTTGTCACCTTGGAGAAGCACGCTGTTGTAATGACATTAACTGTTTTGGCATCATTCCTGTGACATACAAAAAGACAATCACATTAACGTAATGAAAAATAACAAGAATTTCTTGTAAAATAAGTCCAGTGTACAAATAAAACTCACCATATGTTTCTTTTGTACAGCTCCACCATTACATCTAAAGAGATCTTTGCTGCTATGGGATTACTGTCTCTCAGCATGGTGTACATGAAGTTCTGTAACGTCTGAAACACACATTAGATAGTGAATGCAGAGTATTTTTTAGCTGCTGTATCACACAGTATTTCACACAGTCAAACATGTAGAACATAACACAGGTGAGTGTGTGTACTTACTGTGTTAACCTTGTTGTTTTTGTGCTTGGCATTGATGTTTTTAATATCTGCTACAATGTGTGTGTACAGAGTCTGTGGGGAGAGAAAAGCCAGTGTTTAGTTTTGACAGGTGAGGAGGGAAACAACAGAAGAGCGCATGCATATGCCTATATTCACACTCACATAATTGTGTTTACCTATGTAAAAAGAAAATATATCAGTTCACTGATCATACTTTGTTATCTTTGTAATTATATACACCAGCAGAGTCATTAGAAATATTGCGTGTTTTATACCTCACTCATTTTTCCCATCTTTCTTCAAAAAAATGAACTTGATTTCTAACTATTGTGGATATGTTTTTCCATTTGATTTATTTCATTTACAAAATCCTGACAATTAGAATTGATTGAGTTATTATTGTCTAACCAGTTCCAGAGAATTTTACTACTGTAAATATTTGAGGGCTGTGCTGTACTCTAACCTTTCTGAGAAGTTTGTCGTGACATCGCAGCAGCTCAAAGAAGAGCTCCAGGAGGCCGGTGGGGTCGATCAGATCTTTATTCCTAAGAAGAATCAGCGCTTTGCAGAAAGTCTGACATGAACATGAAACAAAAAAAACATGCTAAGAGACAAGTCATTTGCATAAGTGTCAACAAACTCATGTGTTGCAAGTATGAACAATTACTCAATATGGACAGCCACAGACGGTCTCACCATTCTTAGGTCTGGCTCGAGCATCGTGTGGTGACTCATTAGTAACTCAGACAGCTCTTGTGGAAAGGTGGACAGGTGCTGCAGGTAGCAGTGACCAACCTGAAGGACAAGAACAACTTTAACCACGCAGCATAGAGGAGGTAGGACACGTTATTGATCAGCAGTGATGGAATGTAACTAGGTGTATTTATAAAACTTCTGTACCTTAATACAAAGTCGAGGTACTTGTACCTAACTGAAGTATTTCCTCCTTGATACTTATATTTTACTACATCTCAGGAGGTAAATACTGCACAGGATACTCAACCACATCTATTGGACAGATTAGAACTTTTTGGATTACAGATTTTAACCTTCCTGTCCAGTGAAACCTATGCATCTCCCAATGTGCTGCTGTCAAATGTTAGTGGTAATCTAAAGGATGTTTAAAGAAATTTCTCAAATGTATCAAGCTAAATAAACTCTTTAAAAACCCTCTTGAATCAGATAGAAAATGCATCATCACTAAACTGAAAACAATGCTGTTCCTCTGACACCAAAAAAAGTGAACTTTTTACAAATATCTGGTTCTCACAAGACAGCGAAGCTACAAATATATGATGATCTCAGAATATGATGCATTGCTGTAGATTAAACAGTATATGTAGAGGTTAAAATCAGCAAAACCTTAAACATCTAAAAGAGTAAAATGCAGCATGCACACTAATCCAGCAGCAGTATTAATCCAAAAGCATCATATATCACAGTAAAATTACAGGAAACATCTTACAGCATAATGAGAATGTACAATTGATACTGTAAGGACATGCTGCTGATAATAACGTAAGGATCTAAATGCAGGACTTTCACTTGTGGTACTGAGTGGGGTTTTTTTACAGTGTGGTAATAGTACTTTTACATAAGTAAAGGATCCAAAAGACTTCTTCCACCACTGCAGATCGCACATACTTATGAATACAAGCTTGAACACACACAGTACGGTACCTGAGCGAGAAACATGACCAGATCGGCCAGCTCCTTGTTCGGCTTGTCAGGCTGCAGTTTGAAGATCTGTACATTGGACTGGTAGTGTCGGTACTGCTGCAGAAACTGTGCAGAAACCACAAGAGATAAACGATGACTGCCGTGCTTAAATTCACAAACAACAACAGGTCGACTGACTGATAACTTTAGCACTGCTGGCTAACAACACTTACCTCTTCTACGTAAGACTGCGGATCTCTCTTAATAAGATTCTGCAGCTGCGGCAAATTGTTTGGTAGTTTGTTGTTTTGTCGCCCGGACATGACTCAAGATGATTTCTGCGAGTATGTTGAGAAAAAAATAGGAAAAACGGCAGTTTACTAAGCAAGCGTGGCCAATGTGTAAGCTGCCATAACTTGCAGTCGGGAGACAGCTCGTCACGTCCGGTGAAGTCGTAGGCACTTCCGGCTTGAGTAAAATAGGCTTTGTTTTTATTATTTTTTTTGTTGCAGCAGCATTAAAATATCCAGTCTTGTGTATCTTTTTATACACTTCGACAATTATACTTGCCTTCTTGGTAGTGACGCGGTAAGCGGGCTAGCATTAGCATTCTACTCTTTCAAATACAGTAGCCTAATTGTGCCCAAAAGGATATGTGCTTACGTTCATGCTTAATAGTTCTGTCAATAATAAGATAAAGGGAGAAATATTTAAATAAAACATTATCAAACAAATTATTAAACACTATTATGGGGAGACACTACAGGTACAAAATAGTTTTTTCAAGCACTGGTGAATTTTGAGATTTAGGGCTACACATTTAGGCCTATATTTTATTTCATACTTCTGTTCCAAAAACAAATTATGCCAAAAGCACATATTTGGATTTCAGCTTACAATAATGCATCATTTGCATATTTAAACACACAATTAAAGGACCTTAGCACTTGTAATACAAAAAATAATGGGCCAGGTTTAATGCACATCTGCATATGGGTTTGATAATAAATGTGCCATACATTCAGAGAATCAGAATGAAACCTTTTGGCTGTTATGCATACACATAGTGTCACAATTTAATTTCTGTTTTAAGAATAAAAAGATGTACAACATGTTGGCTACAGTGTATTTTACTACCAATGAGAAGTACAAAACATTCACAGAACGCGTCATATTTAAAAAGCCCATGACATTAAATGTTAAAAGGTGGTTACAGATTTTTCATGTTCCAAGCAAAACAAGTTAGACTTTAAACAAACGTAAATACTACATAAACAAATGTAAATATGAAAAGTGACCAGGATTGTGTTGTTTAATAAAATGCTGGCACTAAATGCACTTTTCACATTCTGCACAACAAAACAAAAACTGCTCACTTAAAATCCACAACTCCTTATGTTTTGATGACAGTGATTCAGACTCAGAGGCAAGTACCAAAAATATATAAAGTAGTTAGAGAAAGGATGCTTCTCTCAGTCTGGAAGGGAGTGATTTTTTTGTTCAATGTACATGATAAGATATACAAATGTGTTTGTTAAGAATCAATCTTCTTTGAGGAGGAGGGGCCATCAGTGCGAGACCTGAAGGTGAGATACTCCACCGGCAAGAAAACCTCCAAAAACAAGAAGAAGCTGGAAAAGGAGATGAAAGTCCTCAAGGTAACAGTCATAACCACTCAGGGTCATAGCTCATATTGTCACATTTGTGTTCAAATGCACTTAGTTAATTGTTTTTAACTCTTTGGGCAGAAACAAAAAGAGGGAAGCTGAAGTGTTTAATTTCTCTGCTATTCACCTGATTCATGATCCTCAAGGTAGGCTCACCTGCATTCTCCATAACAACTGCAGCACAAACATTTCTTTAGTGTTGTTACTACTACAGTTTACTAAACTTTAATTTGAAATATGTCTTTTTATTAAGATTTCTCAGAGAACTCTTGAACCATTTCAGATTTTAATGTCACCACTGCACAGATTCATTAGTTGGTCCTGCATAATGTTCTTGACATTCGTGCTAATACAGTCCACTCATGTTGATCACTGGTACATCAATGTGAGTCACGAATGAATTCCTCCCTTAAATTGACGAGAGCAGAACATATTCTCAGGATCTTGTTTATTTGAAGAGCCATGGTGTTTGAAACCACCTGTGTTAAAATCTTGTAAACTTTCAAGCGTGTGATTGCTCTTTCAACATCAACTATTACATGTGCAGTTTGTCCTATGTATGTGTCCTGTTCCTCATTTCTGAAAGAGTACATTACTAAGTTAACATTTTTCTCATTAAACAGCAGATCTTTTATGGAAGAGCCATGCTCTGCCATGACCTCATCTCCAGGCATTAAGTAGTCTAATAATCCTGACTCAAAAGTTATATATTTGTCTGTGCATTGACCTAGATATGCTGTAGAGACGAACATGATAAGTCCACATGGAGCAACAGCGACCAGGTACTTCATTTTGTCATAATAATGGCTGTATGATTCCCCTTTTGAATCAAGGTCTTGGTTTTTTTGTAAGAGGCAATCAGTGCAGTGAACAATACATGTGGTATTAGGAAACTTCTCCTTAAATGTTACAGGCATGGTTGCTTGAATAGTTTCTCTTGGAAGCCACGGAATCAGAGGTCGCAAAACTTCATCCAGTTTGTCAATCCAATATGAGATGATCTTGCTAGCCATGCTCTCTGATATAAAAAACTGCTTGCTCAGATAACCTGTCACATGGTTGGTCCTTAATTTCATCAGTGTCATGAGAACTTGATCTTGCACTGACATTGGAAATGCATTGCTCACATTTTTTTCCAGTGTTGACACAAGAATGTCAAATACCTCCAGGGATATACCAGTGTGGCGCAAAGCATCAGAGTTGTTTTGAAGCATGGAGTACCTAAAATCACCACACTGAGTCGTCTTGTCCTGCACATTCTTCCTGCTGCCCACCATGCAGTAATCATGATCACGTAGTGCAGGGTCCATGGAGGGATGTGCAGGAGCTGAGACGCCAACGCAGTCTGAGACAGCTGAAGTGACGTCCATCGAGCAGTCTGACAAACACACAAAATTATGGCCAGAGTTACACGCACACCTGGAGAGTAAACACTGTAGTCATTTATGTAAAACATATAGTGAACATCTGAATCTCTTCTAGGTGAATAAATAGGGGTTGACATAAACTGTGTCGACACATACAGCGTCAACACAAGCTTAATATTTTAAGTTTTTAAAGGTAGGACTATAGGGCTCGAAAGGGCACGTGGTTGCGCAATGCATTGTGGGTCGGAAGCACTATTTTTACTGTCACTGTTGTTTTGTTTACGTTGGAAAGAGAGAGAAGAAGTGAAGCGAGAAATAACACAACAAAAAATGGACCGGGCTGAGGGGAAGTCTGACGGACGATACCGAGACAAGATGGACCCCACCGAAACTGGACTCTGAATTTAAATGACCTCCCGCCGTTGTCTGAAGTGGAGCTAGTCCTCTCTCTTGTCAAAAGAATAAGCTATTATACTGGCGACGAATTTAGGAACGCCAAGTCCTTCAGGGCTCATGATCAGTCAAACTTTGGGTGGGTGCAGGACCTCCGAATTTTCCACTCTAAAGAGAAAATTCGTCATTTCAGAGGTATGTAAACTTTACATGCCTTGACTTCACTGTGTTTCACCTCCATGTGGTGCTGCCTGTTTGCTTGCTCAGTTTTTGAATAACATATATTGGTGTCTACTGGACCAATTTGTTTCAAACAAAAATATTTTGAAGCCTGAAATCCACTCTGCATTTATGTGGGAAATATTTAGGGGCTTCTCTGTGACTTTTTTTCAGAATTGGGGCATTTTCAGACTCCTTACACCTCTAACTCCCCTTCGTCATACAAGGGTGGGCTCAGAGTGGAAAATTTGTTGTTTTTTATTTTCTTTCATTTGTTAACCACAATTTTGTACTAGTTTACTAGTCCAGAAACCCCTGATAAAAGAGAAATATTGTTTTTGGGTGCATTGTTAGTGACATCAATATGTGTATTTTGGGGCGTTTTTAGATGGGATTAAATGTCCTGACTACACAGCAAGTCTGCACCATTTTCACTAACAACAAAATACAACCGTAGTGTCGCGCAACTTAAACAGACTTTCCAATTGCCCGCTAAGCCCACAATGCATTGCGGGTTTTTCCCCACTTCCGCAACGTCACCCTTTCGAGCCCTATTGAAAGATGGCTTGGTTGCTCAAAAAATAAGCAGCTAAACGTCATAGAAATTCACCTGTGTTTAATCCAATGTCCACATCGTGGTCTCCAGCTTTGGACAAGATGTTATTTCCAAGCAGTTCTTCCAGTATGTCGCAAAAAGGCCACACACGATTGTATTCATCTGTTTTCTTGACGTTGTGGTAGTTGTGTTTAAGGTGCTTCCATCGGACGCGGACCTGTTCTGCCGTCCTGATGAAACCGGCCTCATTCAGTCGCTCAGAAGTTTTTATAAATATTTTCCCGTTCCGCGTTTTCCGACCATCCAAATACTTCAAAATGTTAAGCTCCTTTAGCTGCTGGAGCATGAATATAGTTTCCTCGTCCGACCAGAAGTGTATCTTCTGCTTCTCGGTCGCCATGGTGTTTGTTGGTTAGCTTTTCCCGGGGTTGCTGTCATAGATATTACATACATGATTATAATATCTAACTGCACTAGTATGAACTGAACTGCTGCTACGTCATCTCCTTCTTCATCCGGGTGAAAGCCCGCGAAGGAGAAGTGGCGCATGCGCAGAACGCCGAGTCCAGTCGGACTGAGTGGGTACCATCAGAGATACTGGATCTCTGATATCATGCAGCAGTAGTTCGTAAGGTACTGACTGTATGCCTAGGGTTGCAAAGTCAAGGAAGATTTATGGTGGAAACTTTTTTTTTATCAGAATTAACTGGTATTAAGAGGCATTAACGAAGAATCAGGAAAATAAAATGTAAATATAGGAGTTATTGGCTTGAGCTGTGTTTACCATGTCATATGCAGATTAGGGCTGCATAATATGTTTTGTTTAGTTGTGATCACAATCTGTCAATTTGTATCAGTAGATGACCGCACCTTAAAATGTAATTATCATTCTTGATTTTTATTGGTGCCTTTGATTATCAGTTTTATTTGATAATCAATTAATTGTAAAAATTTCATGCAAAAATGGCAGAAAATGCCTCTCAAATATGAAGATTTCCTGCTTTGCTCTGTTTAATACTATATTACACCTAATATTAGAGGGTTTTAGACTGACAAAACAAGACATGCAACGAAAGCACCATATGGTAAATCGATCAATCCACAAAGTAATCGGCAGATTAATTGATAATAAAAATAACCCTTAGTTATAGCTCTAGTGCGAACTTGGGGTTTCAAGTGGTAGGTGGTTACGGTTCATTGCATGTTGTATCACTGCAAATACACATTAGTGTTTGTTCTCCCACATTAACTTAGAATCGTTGCTTTAAAACGGATTTAATATTAGTGAGGATTACAGTTATCTACATCAGTGATGGCTAACACGGTTTTGAAAGTTAACGTTACAGTATAAAGTTTTAGATGAATGTCATACATAATTTGGCAACAGATACGTTATTTAAGCGAATAAAACAAAAAATAGGTGAGGCTTTTGTATCAGCTTTGTATGATAATCCCCCCGCGAACAGTACCTAAAGTTATCCTTGGTCTCTTTCAGGGAGATCGGTCGTAACCCAGGAAGAGCTCCGGGTCGGGGTGCAAAAGAAAATCTTTCAGCTTCCTTGAATTGTTGTGGGTCAGGTTGAACCTGTGCTCATTTTGAAAGCAAGATAACGTCATTTATGAGCTACGTAATTAGCTAATATTACTTTTTTAGGCGAGCTCTGTTCGTTAGTAACCTGGACATTGGTAGGCTTCTTCTTCTTTTGATTATATTGGCGGTTGTTGAATCACTTCCGGCTTTCGGGCGGAAACGCTTGGTTGTAGAGTCCCTGCCATGTCCCCAACAGTCCACAAGATGGCGGTGTGGTACAACATGGATACTGCGAAGACTGTTCTTCATGACCAACCACCTTTAGGTAGTTTTCACTGGGTGCAGCTAATTTCAAAAGATACTTACAGTGTTATTTCTCCCCATAAATATTGTAATTAACACTAAACTAGTCTGTTTATACGTATTATATGAGTATTTACCATTATATCGTCATGCCACTAAATTGTTTGTACTTTTAGTTTAATGTTTTAAAACGGGTGAAGTCACGTATAGTGGGACACTAGTAGATTATCAAGAACACCACCTAAAACTCTGAAGACTATACTTGAGTGTAACTTTTAAAACTTGTTATGGCTCTCTGCATTATTTCTACAAAGAAACTTTGTTACCAAGTAAAATAATTTAGAAACGTTGGACCTTCCAACAAATTAGGAACCCCACCTCACTCAGATGACATGTTCAGGAAATGGGACAGCTGGTAAGGTAAAATGGGACAGTCATGTTTGTTTGTTTTGTAAATTTAGAAGCTGTTCTACTTGAGACCCTATAAAAGCAGTGTCTGTATTAACACATCTGGCCTGCAAAGAGCTGAAGAAAGGTGAGATCCAAAACTATCATGACAGACTTTTTGGGGCACAGGGCAATGTGTCCAGGATTATTTTACAAAGACATGATCATGAATTTTGGCACCACATGGGGGTGAAACTGGGTTAAGACAACCTATTAGTGCAGCAATGTCTCCTGCTTTCTGCTACAGTATTCATAGACAGTAACACTGTTCCATCAGAAACCTTGGGTGTGTATTCATTCATGTTTAATGATTTCATACAGGTGAAACATAGTAACATGATCACCTGTTAAATATGCAGTCCAATGCAGTAAACAGGCAAAAAAAATATGATGCTCCCAATGTTTAAGGTTTGTGTGGACTGTGACATGGAATTGTAGATTTAAAATACTTCTATGACAGCCTCAGCACAGGTTCCATATTATAAGCTTTATTATTGTATTACTGTGTGCAGTAACTTATGTAGAGCATGGAGTAATTTTCAAGTCATCAACTTGTCGTAGCTTCTCTTCCTTGGACTTTTCAGTGGCTTTTGTTGGTCAGGATCTTGAAAAAGATGTAAGAGGTAAATGGTCCTATATATAAAGTTTAGAGTGTGATGGTGACCACTTTACACAAGTATGCTAAAAGACTATACACACTAAAATTACAAAAGACATGGAAATATTTGCTTTCTTACATTAAAAAAACAACAACTTTCCTCTACACAACCTTTAAAATGTATCCAGTTTAATTTTCAGGAGATGAATATGTACACTTTTAATTTCATCATTTACCTCAGGCAGTGAGCAATTACTGTATAATAGATTTACAAAGCAAATACTGACATAGTATTCTGTCAAGGCATGTTCCAGCATCAGAATAGGATTCAAAATACACAAGTACAATTTTGTTCCACATAAAATATGAAATCATTGATCACTTTTATAATTATTTTAGAATATCCAAGAATCTGGGAGCAAAAAAACCCCATTATTGTTCTCTTGTAGGTGACAATAAGAAATACAATCAGCAGTTCTCGTAAATGCACTGTAAAGGAGTAGCAGCCAAAGAGAGAGAGATAACTCAAAAAGCAAACATAAAAATATAGACTTCTTTAAGGGATTTACTCTTGAGGAATATTTTAAGGCATTTTCAAACATGTAGTGTAATTTGGCAATTTCTGCCTGTATCAGCTCTCCTCCATTATTGTTTAGCTCTTGTAAAACAGTCACCCAGCCTACGTGACGGCAGCATGTGGTTTTCCTACTATCCTGAGATGTTTTCCTCTGCTTGAAGGCATCTGAGGACGTAGAGGATCACTTGATAGCAGAATATATACTGGTCCTGTAAAAAAGAAAGAGGGAAACGTGTGAGAAAACGTAAACCAAAAGGTGTCACATCAAAATAGTTTAGAGCAGAGAGCAAAGTTTTGTACTCTTCACTTGTTTTAATTTGCTTTTAATGTTTAAATTCAGTTTAGATTCAGTTAGTTTCCTGAGTGGGGTTGCTCATTTCAGTTTAGATTTAATAGTTTAAGTATTAGCTTTATAAAAATGATAATATCAGGGTTTATTTGTCAGGGACAAGATTTAAGAAATCCAGAACAGGTATTACAACAAAAACAATACACTTTGAGAAGGCGATTGACTCACAGTCATGTAGACATCCCATGCTAAATATAGATATGAACCAGTGCCTCCTCATGTTTGTTGCGGTGACAAATTTGACCAAAGTGACAAAGACTAAAATTATAGACATTTTTTTTAATATTAGTTTGTTTTGTAAGTACACAGTATTGTTTCAGTTAGTTTTTGTGTTTGTCCATTTTAATTTAAAGGGATAGTTTAGAAATGACGTTGTATGAGGTACTTATGCATAGTCAATGTATTGATTAGTAGATAACGGTCTGCACACCTCCAGTTTGAGGATGCAGGCTGGAATCAGACATGAAAGCTAAGCAATGCACTGCTGTGGATGGGGCAACAACAAAACATATTTTAACCACCTAAAAAAAGTCCCATCTTAAAAAAAAAAAAAAAAAAATCAATATCAGGTTAAGTGTATGCTATACCAAGAATATTTTCACTGTTAGACAGCGACTTCAGGCAGGGAACTGAAGCTGTTATATTACTTTCTCCAAAGCCAGACTCCATTGAGAAAAACAGTGATTTTACCTTGCTGAACACAGGAACTGCTGGTCTACTGCTGCCTTGAAATAGTTTTTTTGTCTTATTGTGTGACATTAGTGTTTGGTTAGTTTGGATTCACTCAAGTCAAACAATAACACAAACTAACTAACTGTGTTCAGACAGCCCAAACTACTCTTTTTGTAAATGAAATCTGGTGGCTTTAAAGAGAGTATAGATGTGTTGGAACGGGCTGTCAGACTGTAACGTTAAGTTGTAAAAAATACTCTCAATATAGTGTACACTAAACTTGTTATTGATTTTTTTTTTAGGTGGGACTTGTTTAGGCGGCTAAAATATGTTTTGTTGTTGACCCCTCCACAGCAGTACATTGCTTAGCTTCCATGTTGGATTCCAGCCTGCCTCTCCAAACTGGGGGCATGTCGACTGTCATCTATTGTAGATAAAACATTGACAATGGATAAGCACCCCATACAACTCCACTTAAAAAAAATCTGAACTATCCCTTTAAGTTAACTAAAATAAACTCAGTTAAGAGTTAAGTTACTTAAAATCAAACATTAAGACTCACCTCTGTCTGGATCATTCCCTGTCGCTGAAGTCTCATGTTCCTTACCACATCTGAAATATCAAACTACAACAAAATGTTAATTAGTTTTGTCCTACTCAACAAAAAACAAAAGAAAAAAAGGCTTCCTTATAAACTAATGTAAACAAGACGTCTACTTACATCAGCATCTTTACTGATGAGCCCCAGAACCACGTCGATACAGATGAGGGTTCCTGATCGACCGATGCCTGCACTGCAGTGTGTGATTATGGGCCCTGACCGATGAACGTGCCTCATGTAGGAAATAAACGTGAGCAACTGCTCGGGTTGTGAGGGCGTCCCGTGGTCTGGCCATCCCGTGTAGTTCAGATGAGTTACGAGCTGTGTTTCATTGGTCTGAGGATGAGGAAACTCTTAAGTTAACGTGTCCATTAACAGTGTATAAACGTTTAAATCTGTGTATAAACCGACCTGGACATCTTTGACCTCGATGAGCCGGATGACAAAGTTGTCGAGATATTGGTCTTTGATCAGCATGATCTGCAACCTGTCGTCCACCATCTCTGCTGTCCTCGGCGTGTCAGGCCAGTACCGCTGACATTTCACTTTCCCTGCCTCCACTTCCTGGGTCATCATGGCGATTACATTAGACTTTTGCTCCCAGACCATCTGCCAGAAGTCACCCAGAGTGGTGGGTAAGGGACCCTGACATGCGATGTACATGTAGTTCTCGTCCTTCACCGGCATCTTGATGAAGTTGGCTTTGATGTAGCCGCCGTCTTTGCCCAGCATAACGCGAGTTGTGTCAACTGGAAGAGAAATGTTCCTTAAAAATCTATTATTTCACATCAGGTCCAACATTTTAGGTATCCAAACTTATTGAAAAGCCCTCAAGTTGGCTATGATACGCTGTACAAATAACACATTTATGACTTCTCTTACAGGGAACAATGTTCTTGTAACGGTTCTTCTTCTTGTTCTCCTTCGTCTGACCTATCAAACAGTCGTCCAGTGGCTGCAGATTCTGAAGATTCTGCCAGGAAGGAAAACAGATGTTCAGAAAAATCAGACAATTAACATGAAATTAACATGAGAGAAATGTGTAATTCTCAAAGCACCTGCAAAGGGAGGAATGCACAACTAACTGCACTGCCAAGCAAAAAGCAATTTGGTGCTCCTGTCCCAATACTGAAATAAGGCAATATGCTTACACTTGGCACAAACTGGACCCTTTCTATGCAAATGAGCTGCATTGCAAAAACAGGCTAATTCACAAAAGATCGGTATTAATAGTTAAACAGAGTTAGAGTGAAATTATTAGTGTCCTCAGAGAGTTAGTAGGTGTCAATTGCCAGATTTTCCAGTGATCAAATACAGTGCCTGAAGTTTTGAGGAATGCCTCCGCATCTTGTGGTTGAGAACCTGTAGCTTACACTCTGAAAAGTTAAGTTTTCTTTTTCTCTCTGCTGTTGTTCTTGGCGCAAAGGCAACATTTCTACTTGTAACATGGTTAACTGCAATCAAAAGAAAAAAAAATAACAGGTCAACTTGCACTCAGCTGCAAAACCTTATGGCTGTGTTTGCATTGTAATATCATTAGAACAATATCTTTTGTGATTCAGACCTTAAAATAGGGCAAATACCAGATCAAAGTGATGCACAATTCAT